GGGGGGGAGGGGAGGGGGGGAAGGGGGAAGGCAGGTGGCAAATCAATAGATACTGAAAAGTATCCAGAGATAAAATTCTAACTGGGCAGCAGCAGAGAGCAAACTTCGGGAGTACAGAGTTCTCATGGACAGCAGTTAAGGCATCCCCACAAGCCCCAGCTGACAGCTAACTGCAGAGTCCCCATCTCCCTCAGCACAGCCAAACCACTTCTGTCACACATCTAGCTGCAACAAATGCAGCTGCTGAGAAACATGTTCTTGCTGGGCCTGACACTTCCCTGCCCAACACTTCCCTGCCCAATTGCTTGCTGAAAGTACTGCACTGGAGACCTGTGCATGGGTTCTGCAGAGCAGCAGTATTACCAAGTGCAGGACTTGGCTGCTGTTTTGAACTCTTGGCCCTGTGGCCCCTACTGAGGCGCAGGCAGGCAGGAGATGGCCAGAGTACCCTTTGACACAAGAACCCAGTCCTTGACAACAAAGGAGGCAAAAGTAAGATTAGGCTCTGAATGACTTCACCACCAAGAACTCCAGGTTGAGCCATCTTAATTTAATATCAAAATAAGAACTAGCTATGTTGTTTAAGAACAAGCTCCCTCTGTCTTGAGGAACACAAAGTTCATTAAGATGCAGAAGTATGGATACTTATTTTTAAAATAACAAGAGTACTTTTCATTTTCAGGATGACCAAAGTAAAATACTTGACAAACTTTTAGGCTGTCCCTATAATCTTCTGCTGTGAGGAACTCAAACCAGCACTAATGAGGACACCATATAGCCATCCCTAAATACAGGGATCACTACTCCTAATTTATCACAAATATATTCTGTTGGCTTGTTTGAATTAATACTTTCTGCTGGCAGAATAATTACTAAATCACATTATGCATGACATGCACATTCATAATATTTATTTCTATTTATTGTGCAATAGTACTTCATATGACTTGTGTTTCTTGCTCTGCTCTCTACTTGCTTGCCCATCCTAAATTATACTATATAATCTATGCTGGCTAGCCTAAATTCCAACAAAATTATTACAGATACAATAGAGATTAAATCAGCTTCTCAGTTGAACAATTTCCTCATGTTTACATTGTTGACTAATTATTCCAGAGTAAGTACAAGGCCAAAAGTCCTCTACTTTACTAGAACTACTATTTAAGTGATGGTTTTCTTCACCTACTTGAAACTGCGACAGCAGCAGAGAATATAGTAGCATTCTCAGGTTTGGTTTAGTTTTGCTTGCATGGTGTCAGCAATGATCTATCTTACTGACCTCCTTTTAATGTGCAGGTATTCCCAGGGAAAAGTATCCAATGGAAAAGAGAAACAAATCCTTGGGAGGGGGCAGAAGAAGGCCTAAAGCAAGAACTTGTTGATTTTGGAAATATTTACTGTTAAATGTAAATACTTAATTTTATTTTGTAACAGATTAAAAAAAAATAATAAAATCTAAGAATAAATATTTCAGCTAAGTAGTAAAAACTTCCAGAAAGTTTTGAGAGGGTCTTTTAAGTTCCTTAATAACATCCAGCTCAGTTTGGAACCTATCAAACCATTCTTACCCTGCTCACAAGGTCAGGGTCTCCAGCTCTGCTCTCCTACATAATGTTACAGGCTTGGCCAGACCATCATCCGACTAGATTGTGTAAAGTGATGAGTTTGTCCTATCAATCAAGTCCATTTCAACAGTGACCTCAC